TTAAAAACTTTAGCCAGGTGCTAGTGACTCATGCCTGTGATCCTAGCTACTCAGGAGGCTGAGATCTGAGGATTGTGGTTCAAAGCCAGCCCAAGTAGGAACAACCATGAAACTCTTATCTCCAATTAACCACCAGAAAACTGGAAGTGGTGCTGTGGCTCAAATGGTAAGAGTGCTATCCTTGAGCTGAAGAGCACAGGGCTAGTGCCCAGGCCCAAAAAACTTTAGACAATTTAGAATTTTAGAAATTAGACAATTGAAGATACCGTGTTTGGGCTATATGTCAGGGAAGAGAATAGACAACTAAAAAGATTTCAGTGGAAACAAATAATTAATGTGATAACACCCCATACAAGTATTGTGAGAAAGCATAGGAAAATTACTTCATAATTTCAGAAAAGTGGGCTTCAAAATATTGAGCCTATAAAAAAGTAGCTCTGGGGGCTGGGAAGGTGGCTCAGTGGTAGAGTGCTTTCCTCATATGCATGAGGCTCTGGGTTCAATTCCTCAGTACCACATAAGCAGAAAAACACTGGAAGTGGCACTGTGGCTCAAGTGGTAGAGCGCTAGCCTTGAGCTGAAGAGCTGAGGAACAGCACCCAGGCCCAGAGTTCAGCACCCATGACTAAAAAAAAAAAAAAAAGTAGATCTGACTATAAACTAAGTGCATGTCAGTAAACAAAAGTAGAATTCTCCAAACAAAAATAAAGTGATGCCAAAAGAAAAACTGTTAACAAGAAAATATATTTGTAACTTATAGGAGACAAAGGATAGAGACAGAATTCTCTAATGTTTAGAAACTTCCAGGTTGGGATGTGATTTATTGGTAGTGTACTTGCCTAGCATACAAGGTCCTGGGTTTGACTCTACCACTGCAATCAAACAAACAAGCACTGAAAACAAACAAGCAAACAATAACTGAAAGTCAAAATGTAGAAAACCATTCAAAAGGAAAATAGAAAAAAATAAGATAGCTTATACAAAAGAAAATATAAATTGGTCTTGAGTTATATAAAAAATGTTAAGCCGTATTCATAATGAAAACGCCAGTAGAAGTTGTACTGAGTTATTATTCCTCATCCATTAAATTTGCAAAATTCCCAGTGATAATATGGCATAGGAAAATGATGCTCTCAGACTTTGATCAGAGTATGGTTTGGTACAATCTCTGTGGAAGATAGTTTGATTCTATTGCAAATATGTGGCATACTTTTGTATACTTTTAGATGCAGGAGTTCTCTTTCATGAAATTTATGATAGTTGTACACATGTAAATAATACATATCCAGAACGTGTTTTATGAGATAAGATGTCCAAGGTGTTTTTTGTTTTTTTTTGCTGGTCATGGGGCTTGGACTTAGGGCTTGGATGCTGTCTCTGAACTTTTGCGTTCAAGGCTAATGCACTACCACTTAATCCACAGCTCTATTTTCAGCTTTTTGGGTAGCTAATTGAAGATGAGTGTCTCATAGACTTCTATGGCTTCAAATTGCAATCGTCAGATTTCAGCCTCTTGAGTAGCTAGAATTACAGGCATGAGCTCCCCATGCTCAGCTCCAAGATGTATTTTTAAGTGTAAAGATGTTTGTAATTGCTTACATACTCATCAAGAAATTCTAGAAAGTCCATTTGAAACTAGTAACAGTGACGTGTGGTCATGGTGAAAGCAAGTCTTTGGCTTAAGGGAGTAGGACTAAGTTTTCTACCATAAGACTTTTTGTACTTTCTATTTTTAATTTTAAGCATTTTGTATATGTGAATAATTAAGATAGAGTAAAAGGAAAAAATTGAATTAGGTTGGCTGTTAGTAAAAGATGTCAGCCAGATAAGCAAAGATTGTTTTTTCTTCTTTCTCTTTATGTTTCTTTAGCCCAAGAAGTGGCAACATACTAAGACAAATAGTGAGAAGTAAGTGGAAAACTAGAATAGTTCATAAAAGTAAGCCACATTAGTACTGAAGGCATGGTTCAAGCTGAAGAGTGCCTGCCTAGCAAGTATGAAGCAAAAATAAATAAAAAAGAGAAGTGGATCAAATTATCTATACTTCATAAATATGGGCCAAATTATCCACAACCAATGACCAACAAAAAATATTTTAAGAAATTCAACATCTTTAGCCACTAGGGAAATGTAATTCGTTCAGTACACTGAGTAAAATGTGAGAGAAAGGTGAATACCTACCAGTGGGGCTATAAGCCAAAGAAAAAAAAAGGTAATTCTCCAAAGATGCACAGGTGCCCACCAGCTAGATATATGCATGTATGTGTGTATAGTACCCAGATGCAAGAAAAGGAGTCCAGAACCCACCCCCCCCACTTCTATTTACTCCCCCTTCCCCCTTTTTTCAGTGGTGGGGCTTGAATTCAGGGCCTGGCCACTGTCCCTGAGCTTTTGTGCTTGAGGTTAGTGCTCTACCAGTTTGAGCCACAGCACCACTTCAGGTTTTCTGGTGGTTAATTTGTGATAAAAGTCTCATGGATGGGGCTGGGAAGGTGGCTCAGTGGTAGAACGCTTGCCTTGCATGCCTGAGGCCCTGGGTTCAATTCCCCAGCACCACGCAAGCAAAAAGAAAAAAAGCGGGAAGTGGCGCTGTGGCTCAAGTGGTAGAGTGCTAGCCTTGAGCTGAAGAGCTGAGGGACAGTGCCCAGGCCCAGAGTTCAGGCCCCACGACTGGACCTCCCCCCCCAAAAAAAAAGTTTCATGGACTTTTTTGCCCTAGCTGGCTTCCAACAACTGTGATCCTCAGATCTCAGCCTCCCGAGTAGCTAGGATTATAAGTGTGAGCCACCAGCACCTGGCTATGATATACACTTTTAAATGATCAGTGATTTATTGAAAAGATCAAGGAGTATATTAATTATTCTTAGAATTAAATGAAAGTGACTTACTGCATATAGTAAAGGAAAATCTAAGAATATTCATTGGCTCTGAGTGCCTACATTATAGTAGAAGAAATATCTCAAAGAATCTAATGTTGTCCCTCAAGGTCTTAGAAAGACAAGAATAAGAAATTTCCAGTGTTAGTAGACAGGAAGAAATAATGATCAGGGTAGAAATCAATGTAATAGAGACTTAAGGAACAATACAAGTAATCCTCAAAACAAAGATTTGGTTCTTTGAAAAGATTAGCAAGAGCCATAAACTTAACCAAACTAACCAAAAGCAAGAAGGATTTGACCTAAAATAATAAAAATAGAGATGAAAAAGAGGACATTGCAACAAATACCAATGAAATTTGGAGTTTTATTAAGAAATATTTAAAAATTATATTCCAGTCAATTGGAACATACAGAAGAAATGGATCAATTTCTAGGCGTTTTGATATGATTCTATGGTTCCTATAGCAGATGATATGATTCTGTATTTAAAGATCCCAAGGACGTTTTCAGAAAACCTGATAAACATTATCATCAAAGTAAGTAAACAAAGGCAACATACAACAATCAGTTGGTTTACTATGTACCGGTAATGAACATGTTGAGAAAGAAATCAGGAAAACAATTCTATCATAGTAGCCTAAGAAAAAGATAGGAATAAACCTAACTGAAGAGATGGAGAACTTTTACAATGACAACTCAAAAGCACTAAAGAAAGTAATTGAGTAAGACATTAGAAGAAGGAAAGTCCCTTATGTCCTTACATTAGTAGAATTAATATTGTGGACATGATTAGTCTACAGGAAGCAGTGTGCCATCCATCAAAATTCCAATGTCATTCATTATAGAAATAGAAAGAAATAGTCAAAAAAGTCATATGAAAGTGCAGAAATTCCTAAGTAGCCAAAGAACAATGTTGTCAGTATCAGGATACCAAACCTCAAATTATACTACAAAACCATAGCAATCAAGACTGCATGATACTGACACAAAAGCAGGCATATAAACCAATGGGATAGATTAGAATTCCCAGAAGTAGGGCCATGCAGCTACATATTATTTATAACAAAAATGCCAAAAACATACATTTAAGAAAAGAGCCTTCTCAACAAACTGGCTAATGATAAATAGAAGACTGAAAATCGATCTAGTGTTTCTCACCCTGTATAAAAATCAATTCAAAATGGATTAAAGACACTAAACTAAGACCTAAAACTTTGAAACTACTAGTGGAGAAAATAGAGGAATTACTTCCAGACATAGCCACAGACAATTATTTCTTGAATGGGAAGGACTCCAATATCTCTGGAAATAAGTGCATAGATTAATAGATGACTATGCATCACATTAAAAAGCTTCTGTACACCAAAAGAAACAGCATAGAGACAGCATAGAGAATGGGAAAAAGTCTTCATCTGATAAGAGATTAATATCCAGAATATATAAAGAGGTTAGTCATTAATGTGTTGTGTGGTAAGTAATTTGAAAAAAAATACAGTAAAGAGATAGAATTTGATGGAGATGCTGCTTTAGATGATGTGTTCTGGAAGGCTTTAATGAAGAAGTGATAATTGAATAGAAATATGAATGAAATTTAGGGACCAGCTTCATATATGTGCGATTTAGAATAGTTCTACATAGATGTAGTGGCAAAAAAAAAAAAAAAAAAGAAAGAAAAAGAAATACCAGCGAGAGAAATGAGATGGAAAGACAGTTGTAGTGGTATTGGGGGAAGCATGTTATTGAGGGCCTTATGGTAATGATATGGTAATGACTTTGGGTTTTATCCAATGTGATGGAAATTAAGGGAACATTATGTCCAGAAGAGTGACATAAGAATTACATTTAAAGAACTCTGAGTGCTGTGCTGAGAATAGGTTATTGGAGACTAAGAGTAGAACTAGAGAGATCCATTATGAAACTATTAAAATAAGCTGAGCCAGAAGCATCACTGCCTTTATCATTTGAGGTGGCAGATAAGGTGATAAATATATCTAAGCTGAAATATATATGTGCATTGAAACATCCATGACACCACCTATAATGATTAATTATATTCTTATGCATCATTTAAAATTTAATTTTTAAAAAATATGTGAATGAATGCTCATATTTACTTTGCAGGTACTGGTTTGCTTTAAAAAAGGGTTACCACGTGGCTTTCAAATATACCAGCAATACTCAGAACTTCATGGAGGAGCAAACTGAGCAGCATGAAGTTATTGATAGAGTGACTGATTTGAGCATGCTCAGGCTATTTGAGACCTACCTGGAAGGTTGCCCGCAACTTATTCTTCAGCTCTACATCTTGTTGGAACATGGTGAAATGAATTTCATTCAGTGTAAGTCTTTCTTAATACTCACATCAGGTGAATGCTGCAGGGGTCTTATGTCAGCTGTATACATCTCAGAAAAGGCTTAGAAGTTTTTATCCTCAAAAAGGAATTATTGTTTTGAAAAGGAAGTTTAGTAACACAGTTCAAGTATCAAAGACATATATGGAAAGATATTATTTCCATTTCTTTTCCTATCCCTCTGCTTAGAAAGGAAGCTGCTACTGTCAAGTTACTTGATACACCTTCCAGATAACTTTTTGAAAAGTGTCCTTTTTATTCCCTTAACACCAGTGTTACCATAAGATAAAAATTGTCTCTGAATTCAGTAGTGTAGCTTGGAGATCTATATAGATGAGCATAGAAAGAAACTCTCTCATTCATTCTTATTATCTACACAGTATTACAAATTATAGGTATAACAAAAATTATTTAGCAAGTTATTGTTACCTTAATTCGAGTAATATTAAACTATTAAATGCTTCAGTGAATAATCTTCATACCTCTTTTGTGGTTCTTTCTTCATTCTTATAGTTCTTTCTTTTTCTTGGCAGTTTTGGGATTAGAACTGAGGGCCTTGCTCTTACTAGTCAGATGCTTTACCATTTGAATCATACCCTCAGCTCTTATTGCTTTCATTAGTTTAATGAGCAGGGCCTTGCCTTGTGCATACCTGGATTATAATCTTTCTATTTACATTTCCAATACATTGGGATGATAGGTATGCATCACTGTACCCAGCTTTTTATTGGTTGAGGGGGGAGGGTTCTTACCAACTTTTTTGCCTGGATTTCCCTCAAATCAAGATCTTTCTTATCTCAGCAAGTAGTTAAGATGATAGGAGCGAGCTCCTATAAACCAGACACCTGGTGACAGATATTTCTTGGAGTAAAAATGTGAGGTAAGTAAATGAAAAATAACAAAAATGCAAAGCAACCCAGTTGTCTAATAGCAAAAAATTGGTAAATAAGTTGCTGCAGGCCACTAGTTTTATAATGAAGTAATTCAGAAAATGAACATGTCCTTTATCCCCATGCCTTCTGAAATCATACTGATGTAATTTTTCTTCTCAAAATGAGAGTAAAAGAGTAAAATCAATATAATACAGAAGAGCAAAGCAATTGCATACTAGAGTAGTAGATTAGCAAGATCAATAACTAGAAGATGTTTAGAAGATAACTTAGGTTATTTTGAATCAAGTCTTCCACTAAAAGGCTGTATCATTTAGTCAAGGCTTCCTCTGAAAATATATTATTAGGTAAAACATTTAAAAAGTCAAATATCTGCTACAATCAGTGAAGGGGGAATGCCACATTGCTAAGTAGTATTCTGAGGGTATTTATACCTTGAAGGTTTTGTTTTGTTATTAAATCTTATAAATCAGGTATCAGTTTTCATGACCTACCAAAGAAGACAGAAGACAACACTATGGCTCTTCATAAGGAAGATGTCTCTCTGGTGGTAACCCACTAATCCATCAAAGACTCCAAAAATCATCCTTCTCAGAGTAAAAGTCCCAGAGACTTCAAGGAATATTACTTGAGGCTGAGTAGAACAGGGAAAAATGTGCCTCTGAAGTCATACACGTAACGTTAGCAATCAATATTCACATTGTGTTGTCTCACTCCCAAAACAAAACATCACTACTGCTGCCTTCCACCCCGCCCCCCCCCACAACAAGTGGAAAGCTATAAACACATATAAACAGAGTTTAAAGTTTTCCTAGACTGAGCTGGGAAGGTGGCTCAGTGGTAGAGCGCTTGCCTTGTATGCCTGAGGCCCTGGGTTCGATTCTTCAGCACCACATAAGCAAAAAGAAAAAAGCCGGAAGTGGCGCTGTGGCTCAAGTGGTAAAGTGCTAGCCTTGAGCTGAAGAGCTGAGGGACAGCGCCCCGGCCCCGAGTTCAGGCCCCATGACCGGACCCCCAAAAAAAAAAGTTTTCCTAGACTGATAGTACCATTAGGTATCTGGAAGAATAAATTCTTCTGGAGGAATCTACCTTGTCTCAGGCCTGAAATAATTTTCACAAGTAGTTTTCCAAGAAGAATGAGTTGTTAAAAAATGCTTTATAGCACCAAAAGATATACAGTTGAGGAGTATAAATGAACAGAAATAGAAAAAAAATGTCATAAGGGTTTTGAAAATGACAAGATGGAAAGTATAAAGATGCAAGTATAAGTGTTATGTTTAAGGATGGATGGGGTCATCACTCCCTAATAATATGAAAGACAATGTAGTTATCTTTCAGTATCTATGTAGGATTTATTCAAGAACCTCCACGAATACCCAAACCCACTGATGTTTGTCTCTTATATAAAAAATGATAGTGTTTGTATGTAATTTGTGCATATCCTTCTGTAGACTTTAACTCGTGTTTAGATTACTTATAATAGATAATATGATCACAATACTGGGTAACTAGTTGTATACTGTATTGTTAAGAAACAATGACAAGAAAAGCCTATGCTCAGTGTAGAGATCTCCTCCCTCCCTCCCTCC